ATGTTCGACAACCCCGATGGAGCCCCGAAGGCTAGCTAGGCAGATAGCATTAGCGAGAGCTATTGTTTGCTAACACCATATGTGCCATTGTTTACGTTCAGTTTGTCTTTTCTATAGTTGTTGTTGCTATTTATAGTATTGTGCTGCAGTAGTTTGTGGAATTTACAAGTCATGTTTCTGTTCTAGATGATTACATTGGGACTAGCGAGGAGGAACAGTTCCGAACAACGTCCTCTGCATCAACAGCACAAACCGAGGAGGAGAGGATCTGGCCCTGCAGGAACGGCAACTGGCCCAGCAGAATCAATGCCATGTCTTATCTTATTGCTTGTTGATAAATAATTGCACCCACCAGCGATCGCACAGAAAGATGGCATCATCTAGGCGTCCCTCTGCAGTCAGAAATATCATAAACACCATCGTCCACAAAGCACTGTACAGGGGTTTATGGATTTAAGAGAATACTTATCACAGTGAAACCTTTATCATCTGTTGCAATTAAAGCAAATAAGAGAATAAATACTTGGTTAAATAATACATTTTAACTCTTTAGCAGGACAACTCTGCATACTGTTTGAAATTGAGTTTGCTAGCTTGAGGTCCTCCTCTAAAACATAACATTACATAATGGTATTAAGAATACATGATAAATACATGTAGAAAAATTACTCAATTGTAATACCCTCGTTGTGCTAGACTCAAACACATTGCTTATATATTTCAAAGAGAAGAGAACAAAAGAAAACACCTATACAAAGAGAGCGGTGCACAGCGCTTAATATTTACTTGCACTATATTTCTGTTGATCTGGGTTATTGTGTTGCACTGTTGGAGGAGCCTGTGACCTAAGATGTTCATTGTCATAACTACACTAGCTATGTTCGTATGACAAAATAAAAAACCTTGAACCTTGAGGCTGTGTCTTTCAGACAAACCATCATAATCATATTATTTTATGCTGTGGATACTTTAGCCTCCATCCATGTTAACAATTTTTTACACTTGCATTTATGAATATAGTTCTGTTGTGTTTTACACTTTTGTATTTATGTTTATAGTTTGCTTTGATATTTGCTTAATTTATTAGATTATTATTATTATGGGGGCAGTACTGGTGCTTGAAATTCAAATATTTACTAAATAGTCAATTCTGATAACATTTTTTTGGTTTAAATAATTTGACAAACACATGTATGTGAAAAAGAAAAGATGTATTTATGTTCAATACAATACAATGAATATTTAGGTATTACACGTAGGTTTTCCTCAGGCATCCTGAAGTTCTCCACCCACTGAGTGTGTGAAAGATGGAACAATCACATTCCACCACTCGGTAGCTCGGTCGGTAACTTCTGAAATACACAAACAAAAGCATACATATTTTAATACGTAAAAGTGGTAGCTACAATTAATTAAATACTTGAAATACTTTGGTCGTATAGGGAGAGTGAGCCTAAACACATTGCTAGTTAGCGAACGTTAGCTTACCAAGTAGCATTGTAGTTAGTAGTGATTCGAGTTGTCCTGTAGTCTCTGCGGCGTAGGAGGACTGCCCGAACTCTCGCGTCAGCTTCTTCTATACCTCGTCTTGCTATACGTCGCCTCTTTCGAAACAACTCTTGTCTATTTCTTGTGATAATAAACCACACAGCAAAAAACAAGCAAACGATCGCTTTCACATCTCCATTGTTGTGTCGCATTGAAGATGACGTCACGGCAGTTTTAAGCAGCGTCGCTCCGCCTACACTGTTACTATAGATACTGACCCGGTTCCTAAACTGTAATGGAAACGCGCCACAAAGTGAGCTGGTCCTAACGAGGCCGGGCGCGGCCAAAGGAGGCCGAGCGGGGCCGAGCGAGGCTGTGTAGTGGAAACGCGGCATTACAATGAAGGCTCGATAGTCAGCTCACAGCATATAAAATAGCATATAGGTGTAAGCAGGGGTAAAGTGCTATTTTATAAGTGGGTGGGTGGGGGGGTCCTCACCTCCTCTAGGGGGGACCGGGGGCATGCTCCCCCGGGAAGATTTGTTTTTAAATATTGAAGTTAAATTCATCAATCTGGTGCACTTTGAGAGCAAATATATATATATATATATATACCGCCACCCATTTTTGGATTAGCCTATACATATAATATTCATACAGAATAAAATAAACATGTTTACTTCTATTAACACATGTGCATGTTCACTAACCTACACCTAAACATTAAGAAGAAAATGCAAAGAAATACAACAATGAAGTAGATGTGAAATGTAAAAGTTGCTGCTCATAGTGATGAACCCACAGAGAATGATCAGGGAATGAAGCAGTCGCCATCAGCTCTATCAGGACTGAGTGTTGATAAATCCACTGTACACTATCTAACTACCAAACCATCAACAACATTGGATGAAAGGAGATGGTTAAGAACAAAACAGAGATGTAATCATCAGGTGGAAAAAAAGAGTTGCAAACTGTGAATCAGATAATGTTTTGACAATAAATCACAGTTTATAGGGAACTGTTATGTCACTTTATTGGTACAAATATAAAATGTGCTGTTATTTCAAGTTAAGGAGTTACAAACTATTGTAAAGTAAGCTACATCATTCCATTGTACCCTCAAGGCTATCACTGCGTCATTATTTTCAGTTTCATAACAAATATTCAAAGTGATATATGATCCCTTAAGCAATATTAATTCACTTTTATTCAGTTGAGTAATGGTAAATAAATACATGGTACAGTAGCATACCCTCCAGTCAGTGATCATGATAAGGCAAACATAAATATAAATGTATCTCATCCTTTCCCCCCATTTCCCTTTCCATAGTCTCATGACTCAAAAGGAATTAAACTATGATTTATTGTAACCTAAAGGCATGGTAAACTCTTTGCAACCAATAAATCAGGCAATTTAATAACTGAATCCGGCTCCTGCTTCTTTTCAACAACCAAAAGCACAAGTCTTTACCAATAAAAATCAGTGTTATACTAAATGTCTAGTTCAAGATCCCAGCTGCACGGGGCAGGGCAGATGTGGGTGACTCAGAGGTCTTTAGCAGCAGTGGCACATTGAGCCACATCAGACCATGGAAGAAATACAGAAAGGATGTTCACACATGCACGGATACACATGCACAGTAATCTGAGCAGCAGAGTATCATCAGCGTAACCACATCCTCTGCCTCAGTGTGGAGAGGAGGAACCTGACACCCATTCGCTCTGTATGAAAACTCCCTAGTCATCACTAAAATGGGAAGGAATATCAACATTTAATATGCACAAGGGGACTGCAAAGGTCATAGCAGGGGCCAAGGATGAAGGGAAAATCACACAAATTATCGCGGGTGAACGGACTTGAAGCTTGAATACTTATTAACAATATTTTATGGTGCCAATTTACCTTTCTCTCCTCTTCCAAAGTACTTATTTTATTCACACCATCCTATTGCATTCATTTTAATAGGCAAATGCAGTTGTGTTTTACCTTTACCACCAATATGTAATATCATACCTTTATGACAACCAATTACTAAAGATTCCCATGAAGCAATATGTGTATGTATGCAATTATTTAGTGATTGGAATTTTTGTGCCCCGACAGTTTCAAAATGCAATTCACTCATACACTGCTGTCGTAGATATGTTACACATGCATTCGTTAGGATTACATTACTTATGCATGATCAAAAACGAGCAAGTCGACAAGTTTGCCAATACAAGACATAGCAAGCCACCTAATCTAAAGCCTTTTCATATATATTTTGACATGTTCAAGTAACTCAAACATTACCAATGTCTCTATTCAAGTGTACCAAGCAATGACAGGGGGCCAACATACACAATATCCTGAAACCAAAGCAACTAAATGGAATGGAACCATCCTTAATTTTAGGCATAATAGCTTTTCTTTAATCCTGCTGACAAACAGAAAAAACACTAACCAAACACAAAACACTAGAAGCTCTAACCCTATCATTCAATGTCAACGAAAGGTGAAAACTATTTGTGTTTCCGCCCCATCATTTGGATCCTAACCAATAATTATTTGTCCCATGCTACACCCGTTCTCCAATTTTCTTAAAAAACAGCCAGTAAAGCATTTTGGAGTTCTGACACTGAAATGTAACCTTTTGTCCGAGTAAAACCCACTTTTTGAAATCCCCCTGTGACTTGTCTGCCAGCTGGGTCCCTCACAATGTCACTTTTTTGGCTTTCTTTGATCAAAGTAAATGGCATAATGGGGGAGCAGAAGAGAGGGGTGGTAGAGGCTCAGGAGGTAGAGTGGTCGTCCACCAATCAGAAGGTCTGTGACTTGATCCCTGTCCAGTCAAGATGCCGAAGTGTACTAGGGGAAGATGACTTGACCAACAGTGTGTGAGTGTGTATGTGCCTGAGCATGTGCACCTTGTACGGCAGCCTCTACCTCTGTATGAATGTGTGAATGCTGACTTGTTAATGTAAAAGCACATAAAGGAGTCACAACGACTTGAAAAACGTTATATAAATGTACAATTTCTACCTATACATTTGATTTGAATATGAATGGTTGTTCAGATTTGAATTTTAAATCATTCAGGCTAGACAGACAGACAGACAGACAGACAGACAGAGATCAGCAGGTATGAAAACAGAGCAGTGCCACTCTGCATGCATTATACGACCACTAGAGCAATCAATCGGGCACAATAAGAGCAGCCTTTTATCAGGAAAATATCAAAGAATCAGATTCCATTAAAACAGCCTTTATGATGTCACTTATGAGCCGGCAGCGCGGCCTGTATCGGGGCCTGTATCGGGGCCGATGCTGCCACCTGTGCGCGCCATGCAGCAGTGCGTCTGGAGATCCGCTGTAACGCGCTACCGCAGCCAGGGGGCGCACTCATGTCACTAACCCCCCTCTCTCTCCCTCTCTCTCTCTCCATCTCTCTACCCCTCTCTCTACCAGGGGATGCCGGAGTCAAACCGCAGCTCTCCTCTCATTCATGCTGAGCGCTGCTCTCCAGTGCACAGTCACACGGATCTGCAGAGCTGAGCTTCGGTACCGGTGCTGCTCTCTGACAAGCCCTCCGGGAATGGAAATGTCTTCTGTTGCAACTTTGACATCCTAAAATAATTTTCAAAATGCCAAGCAGGACGAACTCCAAGGGCGCTTTGAACAGTAAGTACAGCCAAACTTTTTGTGGTTGTTAATCATCTCTCTCCTCTCGTCTTGGAGCTTTTTTCACCCCCGCTACATCCGAAATGTTGGTGACATTCCTCGCCTTTTCCTTCCCTTTCCCTTACCTCCCCTCTCTTTCATCCCGTGTTCGTCTCTAACATGAACACACATGAAGCAGTTTTTGCTGCGGGAGAAATTCGGCTTTCTGTTGGTTAATGTCTGCGCTTCGGAACATCGCATGGCTCGCTTTGCGCACACATGCAGAAGCAGCCAGGCGCAAGAGGAGGTTGCGGGTGAACCATCTCCGGAATGATTCAACATCCCATCTTTTTTTTTGGAGTTGTTGAAGGTGAAGGATTGTCTTACTTCACCGGCAAGGAACTGCAGATTTTGGATGCGAAGTGGCAAGATGAATAGGCTGATAGTGTGTGAGCTCCACGGGGGTGTTTTCTCTCCCACATGCTCGAGCTTTAATGTTGATATTATAGGAATGTTGTTGCGATGGCATACTGTGATGCCAGTTTGGGATTTGCAGCTGTGGTGGTTTAATGTGAGGATTTTTGGCTGATAAATAGGATTATCCTAGTATGAATACAAGCATCGCTGCATCTGCGCCCAAGACTCGAATTGAACTTGAAACACACTCTTTGCGTTCACTGTGCGCGTGCATGATGTGCTCACATATCAATGTATGCATGCATGCGGACTTTTATGCAGTGAGACCATTAGTGTGTGTGTGTGTGTGTGTGTGTGTGTGTGTGTGTGTGTGTACATGTGTGTACATGTTAATAGCTGTGTGCGTAATTGTGCTTGCTTTATATGCGAAATGTAAATGTTTGGATGCTTGTGTATGTTTTTGACCTATTTGTGTGTGTGTGTGCACATTTGCATGTTCCCTCACCCACCCACACGTAAACACACACATACAGCTTCATCATTTTGGAGTGACATCAACATGCTCTGACAGTTTTGTGTCACCTTATGCATTTTTGACTTAAAATGCGTAGGTGAGACGGGCTGATTCTGACTACGGGCACCAAGCCACCGGTTTGGCTGCCAAAGCACATAGAACAAATATTCTCTAAAGCTTGTGTGTATGTGAGAGGCAGAAGAGAGAGTCTTCTCTTTGCATGTTCTGGATCTGCTCTCATCTCCCCCTCTCTCCCTTCTTATCTCTCTCCAGGGTGAACTTGTAAGGATGAGTGTGCGTGAGAGAGGGATGATGTGGGAGCTATGGAGGAAATGCAAAGAGATGTATGGGGGAAGAAAGACTTCTCCCCCCTCTCTCTTTGAGTGTCATGATGTGCCTGTGCTGGGTGGCGTTGATAAGACTGAAACCCTGAACATCACCTCCAGTTTGGGGCCGAGCGTGACATCCAATGTGACTGCATGCATGGTTCTAAAAGCAACATAACGACCGTGGAACATATCAGTCCCTGTTGCACTCCTGCACACACACACACACACACACACACAGTGTTTTTAAGAGGTTTTAGCCCTGAAATGAGTCAGAATCAGCATGTGCTTTGAGCTGCCTGTAACCTAATTACCTAGTTTATTCTTGGAGTCCTTTATTATTAATTTGTTCTTAGAGGAGATGATCCTCTCTATGTTCCACCTTTCTATGTATTACCATTCTGCGGGCGCCGTAACCAGAGTTCAGTCATTTCTAAAGGAAGTTCTTCCATGTCACCTCCCTAATGATAACAGTGTGATCACATATTTAAAGTAACTATTATACTTTCTTGTAGTTTGAAAAAAAATCTTCAATAGCTAAGACTATAATTTAGTTATATGAGCTCTAGTAATGTGTTTGTGGTAGTGATAGGTACAGTAGGGTGATGTTTTATTGCAATTGTATGTGTTTTTTTCTGAAATGGAACCTGTGATATATCAATATCCTAAAGTTTACTGTCATTATTGACAAAAAGGCTGCCCGCTCTTAGTTGTTTAGTCGAATAATCGGTCATTGTGGTCTTAGTCGACCAAGACTTGCTGATTTGATATTCTTTTGCTAATGCTGGTCAAAAACAGTATTCAAAGGCGAGCTTTTGCATATTTCTTTTGGGAGAAAAAGAGTTTTGCAAGATGCTATTTCTCTTACTGTTGACTGAAATCGATTCCATTCCATTATAAGGGAGATTGGCCTCTGTGGGCTCTGATTGGAAACAACACCAACCGTGTGTGTGTGTGTGTGTGTGTGTGTGTGTGTGTGTGTGTGTGTGTGTGTGTGTGTGTGTGTGTGTGTGTGTGTGTGTGTGTGTGTGTTGTGTGTGTGTGTGTGTGTGTGTGTGTGTGTGTGTGTGTGTGTGTGTGTGTGTGTGTGTGTGTGTGTGTGTGTGTGTGTGTGTGTGTGTGTGTGTGTGTGTGTGTGTGTGTGTTGTGTGTGATGTGTGTGTGTGTGTGTGTGTGTGTGTGTGTGTGTGTGTGTGTGTGTGTGTGTGTGTGTGTGTGTGTGCGCGGGCCGTGGTGGCCTGAGCTGAGGGCTGCAGACGGTCGGGGGGGGGGGGGCACCCTGCGGTCTGTCTGCGTCAAACCGCTTCAAACCTCAAGTGCCTGTAATAAATAAACCCAGGAGGAGGGATGGCAAGAGAATAAGAATAAAGCAGATTGATTTAGCAGTTTTTTGACTCATTCCACTTGTGAAACACCCAGAGAAGGTTGTGTTATCCTAACACGTCAATAGGAAGTGTAAGTGCATTTAGCTGGGGATTTTTATTCATAGTGCCTTCAGAGTCTACATTTAAATGCTGTACGGGCGTCCCCAGCGGGAGCTGAAGCGCACACCCAGCAGAGCTGCAGCCAGCTCCGTCTATTGAGCGGCTGACGACTATAGACTGCCAAGTAAGCTGATATTACATGGCAAAATACCAGTTTGAATCCCACGTGCAACATTAATTGTTTGAACTGCTTTTTGAGGTACATTGTCTGATTAGCTTCGACCAGCATGTAGATCAAATAACAGAGATGAGAGTAATCGGTTGAAACAGTCCTATATACTCTGTTGTAACCAAAAGGCGTGTGTCGGTTTTCCTATTTTCCTCTTCTGACTATATCAATATGTCAGTCATTTCAGTAAGGAGAGATCATTCTTCAAATTAATCCAATATTTATTGGAAATGCAATGGTTTACAAATGTCCAGGAAGATGAGAAATGGGACTGTACTTCCTTCGGATATGTGGGAGTGGAAAACCTCTCAGATTGTGGGTTCTGAAAGTCAGTAATACAAAGTAATACAAAAATGGATAACACAGTTGAGACTTGAGGATGTTTGGATACAGTTTAGCCCATTCACTTCAGTTCATCAACAGTTTTCTTTGATTGTTTGTTCATAATGGAGGCACAAACAAAGTCTTTCTTCAAGAAATGCAAGTAACATGGGGTTAGTAATTGTTATACAGTTTTGGAAGGAAGTATTTATTGTGAAGAGCAGCATCGAGCAAATGGTTTGAACGCAGGCAGAAAGATGAGTGTGGATCGGATAATTTAAGAGTCTTCACCTCATGTAGTCTGTAATTAACAGCCTTTTCTTTCTTTTGTTATATTGTCGCCAACATGAGATACTACAACAGATGAACCGTGTTCTTTTTGCCTCCTTTTTTTCTGATGAGTGACAAAATGTTTACAACTCCCAATTTCTGTCTGAACAGAAAATACGGAGGAAAAGGATGAGAAAAATAGGATGAGAGCAAACGAGAGCGCGGTGGAGGGAGAGCGGTGGAGCGATGGAGCTTTTAAGTTCCCGGCACCTTTTGATGCAGCCTCCGCAGTGAAAGGCCAAGGCAGATCAAACGGGGCAGGCAGATTGAAATAGTTTCTCTTGTAAAGGGGACGAGACGCTCCGACTCTGCACAGATGTGACAGCTAACCGCCAGACGCAGGTGGCAGCCACTTTTACTCGCAGAATGATTGCAAACACTTGGCTTCCCGACTTGCAAGGAGCTTTGTGATTGTCGTTAGCATCCGCGTTTGGTATTTTTCAAGCGAGACCAACGTCTTGTGGTGGGTGGGGGAATTATTTCCTATCCTAGTGTGAGCAAGGATAATTCTGCCGTTTTGTCAGCAATTAAAATCATTCCAGCAACCCATTTTCTTGTGCTGCTGCAGAACATACAGCTTGTGTTTGTTCTCCCAAATGGCCAATTTCTGCCTTATGTTCTGCGCTGTCTGAACAGTTGAGGCAGCAATATAATCTGTGTGTGTAAGTGTGTGTGTATGTATAGCAGAACATACACACGTTATTGAACTTGTCTGCGTTTCCTGTGCCTCTGCAACATTAGTCGGATCCCAATAGTTCTCAGACGTGCAGACACACACACTCGGACATCCTCCCTTTACCCTCCATCTTTCCTTGTTTATATTTAGTTTGTGGCCAAGGTCAAATCTAGAGAGCTTCCTCCTTGTTATTTCCGTACATGGCTTTCAGATGCTGATCTCTTAACTTATCTGTAGTGGTGGTTAGACTTTCCCAAGCCATGGGGAGGAGCAGGAGGGAAATGAAAAGGTGGACAGAGAGATGGATAAGGTGATACTGCCCGGCCTTCAAGGCATCTTACACTTTCAAATGTGGCCTTACAGCTCCAGGAAGGGTTATACCATGAAAGAAGCCAAAGGAAACATTTTCAAAAACTGAATTCAAAGGGTTTCTGAGAGGACAAGGTTTCCACTTTCTTGTTCCTCTGGATTTCTCCCCCCGGGCGAGCCCATGCTAAACACTTTGAGGTGAAGCTTCTGGGGTAAAGTACGCTTGACACCAAAGGTATAAAAGAAGCAAAAGATCTAACACAGCCCAGCTTTCTCTGGAGCCCTTGCTCAACAGCATTCATGAAGCAGTTTGAGGTTTGTCAACTGAAATAACATGGCTGACACTGGAAATTCGAGCAAAAAAAGAGTTTGTAGAAATCGGTAGGGATGGAATCCACTTTCGCATTGCAGCACACATGGAGGAGATAGTAACACAAGAAGGAAGAAAGAGGGATTTCAGAGCTCCAAATCAGAG